TCAGAATCTTTTTATAATCGCTTCAGAATCTCTTCAAAATCTCTTCAGAATCTTCTATGAATCTCTGTAGATTTTCTTCAAAGTCTGTTCAAAATGTCTTCAACATCTTCAAACTTCAGAATCTCGGCAGTCTCTTCAAAATCTCTTCAGTATCTCTTCAAAATCTTCTCTTAAAATGTCTTCACAATCTTTTGAAAATCTCTTTAGCATGAACGGAACATGCACGAAAATCGAACCGCAATCGAATATAAGATGTCGTCGTACAACCTTCAACAATGAACATGGTTGTTAAAAAGCACCATGTCATTTCGCCGATTTAAATTTGTACATCGCCGTGAAAACTTTCGAGGTTCTTGTCACTTCAAATCATAGCCTTCGTCGTTAGGCAACCAACGCGTACCTGTTGCCATTTGCGCCTTCGTCTAAGAAGTCGCCTGTACTTTATTTGTATTTGATCAATAAACGCGTTAATCATTATCTATATATCATATCTACCTAATAGTATATTATATACCAAGGTAGAGAAGTCTAGTATTATTGCCCGTGCATTTGTGGCAGTGATAGGTATTTGTGGTGAAGCCAAAGAAAGAGTTTAACCACACTGTTTTGCTTACTAGACGGCAATTATCAATGCTTGAAGGCGAACTACGAACGAAAGATGTCCTCCAAAATAGCCAATACAGAAATCAGAATGTTAGAGGAGTCCTGGCAGTATTGTCAAGGTTGATTCTCAACATGAAGGCTTGAGCGGCAAAAGGATAGGGTCGACGAGTAAACCAAGCGTTGATGATGAACTATTTTCCATTATACTTGTACCAATATCGATATTAATTGTAGCAAACATTTACTCACATCTTTAAATCGCGTATTTTAACATCTGCAGCAACTTCATACTCGCTTTGTTCACTTTTGGTCAGATTAACACCCTTCGGACAAAACAAGCCATCGTCCCACACTTCAAACAGCGGCTTTCCATTTATATACTCGGGTTCACTACAAATAACGTCCTTGTAAAACTGTGGAACCTCGAGCAGCGTATCGAAATATCTTCGCATTGGTCGGGCAAAACAATCGCAAGTAAGAGCATTTCCTGAAATTCCAAAGGTGAATTTAAATCGAAAACTGAACAAATCCTCACCCTTAAGAAGAATTCTGGTTTTGTTGTTGACCAAAGTATTCATTTCTTTGGTAAACACCGTGAAATTGTTGTGCTGTAGATCCAAAGTCGTGAGATTTTCAACTTTTATTACTTCCCTCCAGGGTAGCTCGTTCAGCATGTTGTGCGACAGATTTATTTCCGATATACTTTTGGGAAGTATGAACACATCGGGATCGCTCGTAATATCCTCCAAGAGATTAAAGGACAAATCCAACGTCCTTAAACTTGTGAGGTTACCTAGAACATCTACCACAAACGTCACACAATAAAATACGAAAAAATCCCCTTACATCGCCTAATATCCGCGATTGAATTATGCGTTAGGTTTAACGTTTCCACTTTCGAAGTTCCAAAGACAAAATCGTAAGTCACGAGTGGCACGTTATTGTAGGAGAGATCTATGTTTTTCAAGTTGTAAGGTATGTACGGATTACTTGGAAACATCTTTCGGGATATAAAGGTTATTTTATTATTACTGAGATTCACCTGGAAAGAATAAAAACATCATTTAGTCCCTTGTTTCAAGCTCCTACCCTTTCAATAGAGAAGCAGTCATCCAACAAGCCGTGCGTTTTATTATCGAGCTTTTCTAGCTCGTTGCCGGAAAGGTCTAAGGTTCGCAATGATACGAGTCCTAAAAGTCGCAATTAGTGTTAAGTTAATCGCATTGGATTTACCATGCAGTGCGCCGTTTGGAATGTGTGCGATCTTGTTGTTTGACATATTCAAGTTGATCAGCTGGAGAAGTCCGTCAAACGCCCTAACGCTGATGTTTGACAATAAATTGTGGGCGAGGTGCAATTCGAAAACTACTGGAAGCTTGCCGAATGCTGAACGTGGAAGCTCTTCGATGTGGTTGTGCTGAAATTTTAGTTCGTATTAAGGTGCTTTGCTTCAGTTTTTCAATTTCCCTTGACACTACTGCTGACCCAAACATGTGAATGATTGAAAGCTGTTATACGAAACACTAAATCAATAGCATTTTCGAATAAAAACACAGTATGGATGGTCAAATGTAACGGTGCATGAGTCATATATCAACTTGTTTCCAAAATTATAGTTGGGACATCCTGTATGTAACATAATTGAAGTTGTTTCATAAGACCTGGGAATTTTTATTTATTTCAAATGGACCCAGACTGGTAAAATTTTGTTTCTTATTGTACAGTTTGTCGCTAATTTTTGAATTCATTTAATTCTATTTGTTGTATTTTGTTTGTATCAAGTTTACAGCGGCAAACTTAGGGAACGTTTAATGGAAATGTTTACTTGAGTTTAAATTTTTATCTGGTCAGATGTTGATAAACAGTTGTTATTGGACAAGAATTAATTGTTTTTTCAATAAACAATGTCACGTGCGAGATAAGCGATGCAGGTGGTTATCAGTTGTGGTGGCGTATATGGAATTTCGAGTATCGTCGGGAATAAGGATGTTGAAAGGAGGTGGTTTTTGCTTAAATAACAAGAATTAATAGTAGACGTGGCTGTCTATTTTAAAAGATAGCGCAAATTTTTGGTACCCGTAGTCCAGCGGGCTGTACAATTTTAAAAATAGAAATCATAATAGTTAAAGAATGCAGAAACAAGTTTAATGTTGTGAAGACTTCTTTCGAGTTTAAAAAGTTTGTGTTAATCAAGAATGAAGAAATAATTGATGTAATACAAGAAAAGTCTTACTATCCGAGCAGTCACAAAACTAAATGTTATTGTCTTCGAGTCGGTCGTGGCGCGTTAAACGCGAGTTGTTTTTGATTCTAAGAAAAATCGTTCAGATTCGCGTTGAAGTGTTTCCCCGAACATCCCATATTTCTTGTCCTGACCAGTTTATTGGATTATTATTAACACAAGTATAATTTTTGAGATAGCTTAATTTGTTTTTAGATCGACCGTTTTTATGATGTGTTAGAATAAATTCTTGATTTTTTTTATTATGTGTCAATTTGAATCCCAATTTATAATCCAGGTAGAGTTTTATTTTTCTGTGTCAAATTATTCTAATTTCTTTTTATCCGAATGTTATTTCCGATTTTATTCAAAATTTTAGTAGCGATTTCATGTAACGAAGCACGTTTCGCCTTGCAAGTTTCATTCACAAAGGTTATAATCACACCGTATATTTGTGGAGTCGACCAGCTCAGCTCTACTGAACACCCGGTATCTAGAAGCGTTTTAAGTTTGTCGCTTCGTTACGAAAAGTGTCATGCCGAATGCCGAATGTATATGTGTTGGTTCTAAGAGTTGAACATAGAAGCTAAAGGTATTTGATTTAATTTATAGAGTTGTGTTTCTGTCGCCGCCACCGTAAATAACGCTACAAATAATTCGCCGTTTGTAACCATTCCCGTCAAGATTTCAATTCTTTGTTGCGTCCGAAAGTTCTTGTGATTTAGAAGACGACGCAAATTAATATGTTAGAATTTAATAGGTGTTAGTTGGACTACCGATAAATAAATGTGTTGCATTGCACATAATCGTGAGGGCTATCAAAAGAAGTGCTCTTAATTAATTTGAATTTTGGGAGCAATTACAGACTTTTAGGATAGCAGCACTGCAGCAGGCCGCACAATTAATAAAATAAGTTTTAATTTTTGGATGTAGTTAACCGAATATGCTGTGCCAGTTGGAAAACCGTCTTTCCCTCCAGGGCATAGCCGAATTTTATAGAAGGTAAAGCAGTTATTTGGAGATCTTTTTGCTTTCTGCCTCTTGCACTTTCTCAAGCTACGTTTTGTAAATACCGTAATTTTGAGCTTTTCCGTAAATTTATTTTACATTCATATCGCTTAATTTTTTGCTTTGACAGGTCTAATCGCGACGAATAATCGTATCTATAGCTTTTGCTTTTTCTTGCGCAGTAATTTCTATCGCTCCATTTAATTACTTTCCGTTTCATTAATTATAAGGGGGATATTGTTTCGCTTTCCCGCATTTGCTTTCCCGTAGATACCGCTACCGAATCCGTTTGTTACTGTCCCCGCTTAGGGAATTGCTGTTCAAAAACTTACGGTGTTTTGTAGAAAACTTATAAAATCGTGTGTAAAATAATCATGCCCACTTATTAAGTTAATCATATGAATTTTAAAAAACAATTTTTCTTAAACCATCTTCTGTCAAAGAGACCTAACTATGCGATTCCCTCGTTTACAATGTTTAGAAAGATATTTTCAGTGATTTTTCTTGAGTTATTCAAAATATGGAAATCTCAAATTAGGAAAAATCATTGTCGTGTGTGCAATTGAATTCAATGCGAGCTGCCATTACGAATAAAACTATTATAAAGTGGCGAATCTATATAAAGAGAACTACAAAAGATTTCCTTGCGTTTGTACTTGAAGTGGTTAGTTAGTTACAATAAAATACAAGTTTATTAATTTGTGCGCTTATTTATACGGAGCAGTAATAAGATTTTAATTTAAACGGCAACCGTTAAAAAGTTTAAAGACGATTAATTAGTGCTTTTGTTAGCTGTTAAAATCCCAGGTACAGAAAAGGAAAATTTACATCTCCATACTGCCAAATATTGGTAAATTATTCCAGTGAGTAAACAAAATTTCAACTATACAATTTCAAGAAACATGAAGCCCAGTTTGTTCCTGATTCAATTTCGTCAACCATCTTTGGAGATTTTATCAAATTTACCACGCGTATTGTATAAAAATTGTATTGTATTGTATAAAAACAGAAGTAGATTGTTTTGGGGATTTTGGATAGCAATTTATGACCAAAGTCAATTTAATATTTCTGAAGAGGTCGACCTAAGGAATGATAAGCGAACCTAAACAAAAGATTTTGGTGATTTTTTCTTATTTTTTCTCAATTGATTTTCAGATTATAAGGGCAAATGGAGAACCAACTTTGCGCAAGCTAAGAGTCATTACTTATAACTGAGCTAGCCGTGGTATTAATTATTATTATTATTATAGAAAATTTACTGTTCAGTAAGCACGTCCTATGGTGCAAATCGTAATACTTGATTAGGAAGAAGAGGAGGAGGGGGGGGGGGGGATTCGTTTTTACCTGCCCTTCGGGGGGGGGAGATTCCGAAAAG